GGAGTTTCTCTCTTAACGTTTATTGTATTAATTTAAGTTAAAGCAAATCGTTCCGGTCCGCGTGTTACGAAATATCACTCGGTGCATCGCAAACTACCGGGTTGTAAAGTTTCGCTCGTTTTTATCTTACCGTAAACTATGCCGAATTAGCCTCGTTGCGGTATTCTTTGCGTCCAACACAGGAGATATCGCTTTACTTCCGGGCGGAATAAAACTTGAACAATTCCTCCTTTTGTTCCGGGCACTCATTTTTCTTATCCAGCCGCGAAATGAATATCCGCTTGTAAATTTTATTGCTGCACAAGGTGGGAAATCCCGCGGGTGGACATGGGATATCGACGGTGAAGCTCCGTGTCACCTACATTCTCTTTAAAAAAGATCATTCGCGAGGCAAGTCAACGGTATTTGAGACTATGGGGAATTGTATTAAGTCCCAAGACGGGATATAAACATCCATCTAAAACAAACAGTTACGAACGGGAAGGAAGATGTGAATTACCAACATTACTTTCCGGTTACTGCATAAAACCGCTTGATGCAATAATATTTTATCATCTCAGACTATACCGGCTCATCCTGTCCTTTGTTTCTGAACTTCTTCGTTATAAGGTCATACTACTTCCGTAAATATCCGGAACGTGAAATACTTCTGAATACAAATTCGGGAAACTCGACGTAACGTTTACACTGCAGTTCCCATCTAATATGTGCATTTTGCCTAATGTAAGTTTAAATAAAAAATTGCACAGACCGCCATTTTTCCGTGGTTTATTCTACAATTTTTATAAGGTTTGTCGTTTATACCTTCCGCAAGATATTATATTTCATGCACTCAAAAGAACACATATACTAGACTCTGAAATTATATTGTTCCAGAGAATATTCCAAGAAAAAAATTAATTTGATATGATTATACAATAACATTTTTTGTACAAGGAAAAGTAGAGATCGATGAATTCCGTATTATTATAGAGATAATCCGACATCATAGGAAACATCATCTCTTAAAAAGGAGATCACAATGATTTTGGGACACATTTTCTGTTATAGGCGGACGCATTCAAGAACGTTGCCGGTCTATCAGTGCAAGCGTGCATTCAACGAGAGAGCCTCGCGGGCACCTCATTTACGCGCATTTTGCATCCACTCAAGTTTCGTTTGAGCGCGGAAGATTACGCGAAATATTATTTCGCTGGTGGGCCGCGGGCGCGTGTGAATAGCGGAAGTATAAGTGAAGGGATAGCGGGGAGTCCTTAACCCGCTTTGATATACACGACGGTCGGTGAAGAGCACTTTGCTCAACCCCACGAAGCTTCGAGCAGAGTAGAGGTGGTATGGGGACACACCGTCGTGCGCATCCACCTGCATGCGCTCCGTCGCGTACACTACCGCCGACTTTCCAACGTTTCTACAAGGTTTGATATGTATACTCTCGCCTAACGCGACAGAATATGAGGAAGAACTTGAGAGACAGAGAGATAGAGATAGAGAAAGAGAGAGAGGGGGGGGAGAGTGATAGGGTGAGAAAACGACGCCTCGATAATAGCAACTCGCTTCGCGCTCGAGACACTCCGCGTCTCTTCTGTCGTCGTTCCATCCACCAACCTTTATCTTCTCTGTGCTCTGTCGACCGCCCTTGGATTTAATTAACTCGGTCTGAGCTTCATTGAGTTATGTTAAGTCACGTTCTTCGCGTAATCTTTGTATTATACCACTCGAAACGTATTTCTGCGTAGACGTACGCGATAAGCTCGTGGAAACCGAGACTTTCCTGCACATATCTTTGTGAAAATCTTGTATTCTTTCTCTCTCTCTCTCTCTCTCTCTCTCTCTCTCTCTCTCTCTCTCTCTCTCTTTCTCTTTATCTCGATACTGTTTACAGGAAGGAGCCGAAACTATTCTAGTCTTGTACTACTTTAATCCTCTAAGGTACCGGAGATTTAAGTGATTATGAAGAAAAAGAATTTCGAAGGCCAGATGAAGTCACATAAAAGACTTTATATTAACGTGGAAGAACTCAAATTTATTAATTTAATGCTATATAATAATATTTACTTTCGATTTAGCAACGAGAATGAACACATCGAACAAATCGAAGGCTCTAAAGCGAAGGCTCTGAAATTAACAATTATTCTGAGACAGTCGTTTACAAAGTTACGAGTTTTTTCTTTTTATTGTGTTATTTTGTTTCTTATATTGCACTATATAAATTATAAAGGGAAAGTACTGATTAAATATTAATTGCACATTGTAGTTGCTGTGACTACGTCGCGAACAGAAGGATCTCTTCATTACTTCTTTCAATTCATGTATCTGCGGTGTTTTCCGCCCGCATTTCAACGTCTTCGAGGACGCCACGGTTTTGAGAAACTTTCGCCTCTCTCTTTAGAAGAGAAAGGTAAAACTTTGGAGCACCTGCCGAGACTTGCTTATGGAGTCTATTACTGCTTCGATGAAGCTGCTTCGGGAATCTTTATACCCTTCGACCCAGCAGACGCGAATTAGCATTCGCCGCGAGTGTCCTTAAACTTACTAATAATTTGATGGCAGAGGCGGGCGGACGGTATGTAAATTAAGAGTTTCAATATTCGAAGCCCATTTCCGCGTCCATTCCGCTAACCTATTTCGCGAAGTTCTAGCTCGCTTCATACCCATAGCGTAGATCATACCTGTCTACGTATCGCTTCCAGCGCAATGCGAGCATACGTTGTAGTACGAATTCCGCGTTGGGATGTGCAATTTATACTTTAGTTAAATGTAGTATTCAAAGATGAATATGCGGAACATGAAGTTGTCATAAACGTGCCAAATAAACGTCGAAGTGAAAATGTCACATACGTTCGGAATTTCATCGAAGCAATCTTTCATGAAAATGCAATTTTTTTATATTATTTATATAAAATAAATTTTATAAAAATTTTATATATTTTTTTTATTAATTTATTGTATAGCGAATGGACATCAATGTATTCTATATTTACATCTACAATGTTGTTCAGAGCGATTAGCTACGCTCAGTTGAAGGCTCGGACACTAATCGGAAAAATTCCTCTGTGTCTCCTAGACAAGAGTGATAAACGAGATACGCGTGATAAACGAGAAGGGGTGGGTTCGTAAACGATGGGATAGAAAAATGCTCATCAGGTACGAAAAGTCGGTACACAGTACTGAAAATTGGCTGACATTTTTCAAGTTTTAACCGTCCGGTGACCCTACCGGAAAATTGCAATTTGCCCGAATCCTTCGTCAAACGCAAATGGCTAAACGTGTCAAAGGCTCCAACGAACATTAACGCGTTGCCCCAAACGATGTTTTCAATTTTGTGTATACGCCATGTTATTTGTATGTACGAGAGAGAGAATGATTTACAAATTAACTATCTAACTAATGTGTAACTGAAAAGACATGAATGTCAAGTGTCACTGATGTGTGTCAATAACGCTGTGTGCGTTTCGCTGTAAATTAAATGATAATGAATTAACGAGAATAGTCAAAAAAAAAAAATGTTATATTATCATTATTGTGTAGTATTTTGGATGAAGTGTAAATTTGCTCGTTTCTTTTAAACTAGTATCGCGTGAACAACGCTCTTTCAATTTAAGCGCCGAAGTAATAGGATCTCACTCGAAATCCCTTCTTTCACGGTGGCATTATGTCCTCAGCGTCATGCATCATGCGCTATCGCATTACAAGAGACATCAGGAATTTTGCGAAAGACTCCGCCCGGCGTTCCAGTTAACTGGCGCGTGCTCCAAGAGTGGATGTAATACGGCTATAAACCGTTGGTGTTCGTTTAAAAGCCTCGAAATTTCACGAATTTCGTCGCTCCCGTCGATTTAGTGGGCATTAGGTACGTCGAGCGCGAGAGACAATGTAATACTATACTCGGAATTGTTACGATGGTAGCTACTGAGCGCGATCGAATAGGTTCAAAAAAAAGCAAAATAATAAATAGATAGACAAAGAGAGAGAGAGGGGAGGGAGAGAGAGAGAGAGAGAGAGAGAGAGAGAGAGAGAGAGAGAGAGAGAGAGAGAGAGA